GAGGAGGAGGGAGGGAGGGGGAGAGGGAGGGAGGGGAGAGAGAAAAAGAGGAGAGAGGGAGGGAGGGAGAGAGGAGAGGGAGGAAGGGAGGGAAAGAGAGAGGAGAGGAGGAGGGAGGGAGGGGGAGAGGGAGAGAGAGAGGAGAGAGGGGGGGAAGGAGGGAGGGAGAGAGGAGAGGGAGGAAGGGAGGGAAAGAGAGAGGAGAGGAGGAGGGAGGGAGGGGGAGAGGGAGAGAGAGAGGAGAGAGGGGGGGAAGGAGGGAGGGAGAGAGAGAGAGACCCAAAGTCACCCAGACCCAGTCATGCCTAAAGTGATTAGCCCAGTGTTATCCAATCCAATAACACACAATAGGCAACAACACAACACTGTACAAAATGCAAAACTCAATCCAATCCGATATACAATGCGCAACAACCCAATAACTGCACATAATACAAAACTCAATAAAGCACAAAACACAATATAATACAACGCAACATCCTAAAAGACATCCGAAGGTTGCTGCATCCACGCCCACCCATTCCCGTGACCGCCTAGCCACGCCCACAAAACCCATTGTTGAATTATCTGAACCCCCACCACTGTGGCTGATCCTTTCTTTGGGCCAGTGATTTCCAGCTGCTCTTAGCCCCAGGAATCCCCCCCCTTTAAACATCTGATGGGAAATGGCTGTCCCGCCATCTCTGTTATTTCCACATGGCGGTTTGTTTGTCGCGCCGAATGTTAAGACCAGAGTTTCTCGCCTGCTCGTTCGCTTTAGGGAAAAGTTTCTCCTTTTAACGAACGGTCTCCCCGTTGGCCTTTCCAGAACGTGCCGGACTGCGTCTTGTATTACTACTTGACCAAGAAAAACGAAAACTACAAGGCCCTGGTGCGGAGGAACTACGGCAAGCGGCGAGGGAGAAACCAGGTGAGTTTCCCTTTGGAGTTTCTGGTACGGGGATGGCGGACCTTTTTGGCACCGAGTCGCCAAACCGGAACACATGTGCATGTTGGGTGCGCCAGAGCAGAGGAAACCCGGAGATCAGCTGGATGGCGCGTCCATGCCTTCCGGGCTGTTTTTGAAAAAGAACAGTCTGGTTTTTGGCTGTTTTTGAGGGCATTTTCTGGGCTGTTTTTGGAAAACGGCCTGAAAAATGGCCCGGAAATAGNGAATTTTCTGAGTTTTTATGGGTGGTTTGTGTGAATGCCCCAACACTGAAAGTCTTTAAGAAGATGCTGGATAGCCATTTGTCTGGAACGGTATAGGGTTTCCTGCCTAGGCAGGGGGTTGGACTAGAGGACCTCCAAGGTCCCTTCCAACTCTGCTATTGTATTGTAATAAATTATTTCATTCATTTATTTAATTTATTTATTTCCTGCCAGTCTCGCCAAGGGGCCACTCTAGGCAGTTTTCAGTGATAAAAATGAAGAATGAACAGACATAGAAACAGAAACAAAATAATAGCACAATAAAATAAACAATGACAAAGGAACACAACGAAAGTACAGGAAGTCCTCGACTTAAGGACCACAATTGAGTCACTCATTTGTCGCTCAGTGAGAAATTTGCGAAGCGAAGTTTGCCTCCTTTTAGCCTTTCTTTCCGCAGTCGTTAAGTGAATCACCACACTTGTTATGTTAGTCACTTGGTCGTTAACGTGAATCTGGCTTGTCAGAAGGCTACAAAAGTTGATTACGTGACACACACATGCCCGCCCCCCACGGAACAATGCAACTGTCATAAGTACATGCCAGTTGCCAAGCCTCTGAATTTTGATCACGTGACCACGTGAAAAATGGCCCCTGTCCTTTTCTTCAGAGCCGTTGTCACTTCGAACGGTCACTAAACGAACGGTTGTAAGTCGAGGCCTTACCCATAAACACATCTATATCATCATCTTCTTTGAACGACCCATAATCCCTTGCGGGGTGGAGCCTGGGCAGCCGAATGAAGCTAGCAGAGTGTTTAGTCGCCGGATACCTTTCTTGTCTCCGATGCGGAGTTTTGTTCAGATATATTCTCACGGTGCCCAGAGAGAGAAATATCTGCCTCTACCTAGGATCGAACACCACTCCTCGTAAACACATCTACTTGATAGGCCCCCAAAAGACAGAAATTTCTTCCCCTTGACCTTCTTCCCTTCTGGCGCTTCTGCAGGGTTGGCCAAAGAGGAACTGGCCTTTCAGCCACCATCGCTCGGAGTGAGCACGAAATCTCCGAGATCATCGACGGGCTGTCGGAACAGGAGGTGAGAGCGACCGCCTTCCCTGGAAGGTTCTCCTTCCCTGCTCTTTTTCTGCTTCCTTCCTTCTTCCCACCCTCCCTCCTCTTTTTCTCCTTCCTTCCTACTTTCCTTCCTCTCTCCCTCCTTTTCTCCTTCCTTCCTTCCATCTTTCCTCCCTCCCTTTTCTCCTTTCTTCTTCCCTCGCTCCCTCCTCTTTTTCTCCTCTCCTCTGCCTTTTTGCTTTTCCCTTCCTCTGTCTTTCTCTCGCTCTCTTCCTTTTTTTTCTCAACCAGAACAATTAACCAGTGGAACTCCTTACCACCGGAAGTTGTGGGTACTCCATCACTGGATGTTATTAAGAGGAGACTGATCAGCCAGTCTCCTCTTAACTGCAGTAGTCTAGGCCTGGTCTCCTGCTTGAGCAGGGGGTTGGACTAGAAGACCTCCAAGATCCCTTCCAACTCTGTTATTGTCTTTCTCTTCCTTTTTCTGCCTCTCTGCCTCTTTGGCTTTTGGGAAATAACCAGAACAGGAGAACCGCCATGCCTGAAGTGAGCCCACTCAGCAGAGGCAGAGGTGATGCCCTCGGTGTTCACGTCTCTCTCTCTCTGTCTCTCCCTCCCTCCCCCCCTACTCTTCTTCCTCCCTTCCCCCCTCTCCTCCCCCTGCTTCTAGAACAACGAAAAACAGATGCGCCAACTGTCCGTCATTCCTCCCATGATGTTCGATGCCGAGCAGAGACGCGTGAAGTTCATCAACATGAATGGGCTGATGGAAGACCCCATGAAGATCTACAAGGATCGGCAGTTCATGAACGTCTGGACCGACCACGAGAAGGAGATCTTCAAAGAAAAGTAATCTTCCTCCTTACTTCCTTTCTCGGGGGGGGGGGGAGCCGCTAGGGTACAGTGCAATGGCAGAGTTGGAAGGGACCTTGGAGGTCTTCTAGTCTAGCCCCCTGCCTAGGCAGGAAACCCTGAGAAGAATAAGGATAGGATGAGGACAAGGATAGGATATAATAGGATAGGATAATAGATTGGATTGGATTGGATAGGATAGGATAGGATAATGGATTGGGTTGGATAGGATAGAATAGAATAGAATAATGGATAAAATAGAATAGAAAAATGGATAGGATAGAACAGGATAGGATAATGGATAGGATAGAATACAATATAATACAATACAATAGCAGAGTTGGAAGGGACCTTGAAGTCCAACCCCTGCCTAGGCAGGAAACCCTAAGAGGAATAAGAATAGGATGAGGACAAGGATGGGATAGGATAATGGATTGGATAGGATAATGGATTGGATAGGATAATGGATAGGATAATGGATAGGATACAATACAATACAATGCAATGCAATGCAGGCAGGAATATATTAGGCAGGAAACCCTAAGAAGAATAAGGATAGGATGAGGACAAGGATAGGATATAATAGGATAGGATAATAGATTGGATTGGATAGGATAGGATAGGATAGGATAATGGATTGGGTTGGATAGGATAGAATAGAATAGAATAATGGATAGAATAGAATACAATACAATACAATAAAATAAAATAGCAGAGTTGGAAGGGACCTTGAAGGTCTTCTAGTCCAACCCCTGCCTAGGCAGGAAACCCTAAGAGGAATAAGAATAGGATGAGGACAAGGATGGGATAGGATAATGGATTGGATAGGATAATGGATTGG